CAGAATACTGGTTTAGTTTGGTCTCCCCGTCATTCTGTGTGAAATATCGGTAGAAAATAATAAATTGAAGAAGGTTATTTTGTGGCCAACTGAGACAGCACATGTTAAACAAAGTTTGTCATCTGCAAATATAAAGTGTATAAAGTAAAAACAAGTTCTAAAGATATAGATATAGACAAGATTTAATGTTTTGTGACAAGAGGAGCTGTGAGGAGGAAAGGATTGCTGAATGCCAACAGCAAGTTTCTACATATGATTACATTTTTACAGTTATGGCAAAAGCATTTATTTAAATATTTGTAGGAGACACAACTCTCTTTTCATCAATGAGGGATAGATTCAAATGAGATGGATTGAAATTTGAATGATGTACTCATTGAATATTTGGCAAAAGTTTAAGTTGCAGTTAGATGAAAAACATTTAGAGCTCCCTAGTGGTTGATTAAAACTTTATGAAATTCATAAATAACACTTTATATATAAGAAACTAAAGATTTAAAAAGAGAACTGCTTTAATTAATTAATTTGAACACCTTTAAAGCAGCACTAATAAACATTGCAATTAATGACCAGATTACAGCAAAACTAGAGAGCTAAACCCACTGTACACTTACTGCCCAGCAGATGGACAAAGTTAGCAAGTAGCTAGTGAGCATAGCAGAGCCAAGGGTGAACCTACCATGACACGAACACGAAAGTAACAAAAACTGCTGTTGATCAAACGGCCACTTGAGGCTGGCTCCAGAAGTAAGTCAATCTCCCTAAGGCCCCATATTAAAATGCCCAACTTTACAGCACAAATAAACATGTGTACAACCTGGTTTTGGTCTCTATAGATAATTTTCCCATTCATGATAACTGTACAGGGGGTGAATTTTTATATAACTTACCCATTTAAATTATAGGAAGGCTTAAAGTGATGCATAATTAAGGGAATGGCTGTTTTTAATGATAAGTGAGTGCAGTCACAGGTGGCTGTTTGCATTAACCAGGCTTCATTCAGCTCTACCCACGCTTCCCGTATTTACCCATTTTTGGTTTAACCTGGAGCCGGTGGAGTCAGGACTTCAGAAAACTATGGGATAACACGGACCCTACGTCCATTTTTAATTATATAGTTTAAGGGCGTCACCCATTGGTTCATGGATTACCATTTTGAAGCCTTAAATTTGCCATTATAGCCATCACTATCTTGTTTTTTTGGAACCAGAAGTGCCCTATATTTGAGTGAGAGCATCGAGCGGGTGTTTGACGTACTGCGAGTTGGGGTGCGTTCTGTATTGGCTTGTCTGTAGGCGGCCTTCGAGGTCACAAACCTTCTCAAATTTCCAGCTAAACGGTAGACAAATGTTCATCTGAGAGGAGAAATGGGGAAGGCAGTAATAGAATATTGATCAATATTTGATCAGCACTGCCTAGTTTGACCTTTTGAGCTGAGCTTCATGAACCTGGTGTATTGCGCTGGAAGGACACACTGAGAATGACTTGTCAATCACAAGGTAGCCACGCAATCAATTCAACTCTAAATGGGACCAAAATTTACAAACTAACATCATGCTGTATGGAAGAAGACGTGAAACTGGCAAATGGGGCCATAAACTCATTAGGAAATAGTTTACTCGTAATAAATCAAGTGAGGGTCATTTTGCCATTACAGTCCATGCAATTGGACTTCTTTTTGAAACCAATGAAGTCTTCCCCTCCTGGTCATTATAAGGAATGCAGGTTTAAGGAACTTCAAATTGGCCTCACTTTTCAGACAGAAGCTTTGTCCATTATTATATTCTGATAATGAGTGGAGCATTTAGTTGCTAAAGAGCCAGGTATTTCCTTCAGGGGTTGGTGGAGAGCAAAAACAGAGTGAATATTTGACTACATAAACCAGGTGGCCAGAAACATTACTCTAAATGAATGATGTTCGTGTGTGTTGTATGCGTACTTTGAGTTTGTGTTCACAACTTGTTGTTAACATAAGCATGAACTCTAATTAATATCACCTCTGTGGGGAAAAAAAGCTGCCAAAGAAAGAAAAAAACGCTTTGGATTATTTTCTTGGCGGTGATGGTTTCATAAATGATAAAAAAAAAAAAAAGCAGTAATTTCAGCCAGGTAAATGTCATCTGTATTTCTACATAATCCCCTGCAAAATACTAAAGATAAAAATACTTGAAAAGATAACACAGGACTCGAGTTGCTGCTAACAGACTGCACTCCGTCAACGTTGCATAAGCTTTATGTACATTCTTATGCTCATTTCATAGCTGCCATATTATGGCAAATACAGTAAAACACCTTGAATTCAAACTAAATAATGTGTCTTTTTTTTGTTCAAGTCACCAATATTTCTAAGCATTCAAGGCATCTGTGCATGTATGTGGGTGTAAGATGACATAAATAGCCTATATGAAGTTTATTAATCACTTCTTCCCTTGCACAGACTTTGAAACAGGCTCTATGAAGATGCTTTGGTAAGGACTGTGTTGGTATGAATGGTGCAGGATTCTCTGTTCTCCCCCTGTTTCTGGACTGCCTGACCTTTGGCATGACCTTTAGAAGATAATTTGCAGCTGCAGCAACCGTCTTGCGCCTCACCTCACATTATTTTCCCTCATTATTTTTACAATGTTACCTTTGCAGTGTAGCAGAAAAGGGCTGGATTCAACAGAGGGGTCAGGGGTCAGCAGGAGAAGGGTAAAGATGCAGGTCAGATTGGCTCTACAGTTGTGTTCAGCCAGCGTCCCTCAGAGAATTCCCCGCCATGAAGCCATTTGAACTCTGAACCCTGCAGCTGTCTGTCAAAAGATGACCCTCGGTGCTGACTGTTATCTGGTTTGGCGATTAGGAAAGCTCCTCAGCCAGAAGTAATGGACTGGACAGAGACTATAGAGCTTTAACATCAGGCAACCAAACACTAAACATGTAAGCAAAATCAATATTCTATGTAACTGCATTATAAAGATTGTCCTGAATCAATATCTCTCAGGCCAAATGTAAAAGCAAATGGTCGGTAAACTGTCTACTAAAACAATTCATTTTGATGTGTGGTTTATAAGATTTCAAGCCATGCTAGCGACCACCACTGTGGTCCAGACTGAAACATGCCAACAAGAGGCTATTAGATTAGATGGATTGACAAATAATTTTCTACAGACATTCACAGTCCCCAGAGGAGGAGTCCACCTCACTTTGGTGATCCTCTAAGGTTAGTCAGCGCTACCATAATTAACATTAGTGGTTTTGACTGAAATGTCTTGATAACTAAGGGATGGACTGCCAGAGGATTTGGTACATGTGCCCCTCTTGCTGATTCCTTAAAAAGGACAGTACTTTATTGATCCCCGGAGGAAAATTTGTTGATATATCTCCATATCTCAGCAACTCACACCAAAACAATCTACATAGATAAACAGTACTACAGATAAGAGGAAAAATAGGTTTTTGATTTTGGGACAAACTTTAAGTCTTCATTTATTCCTATCATAGGGCTAACATTTCATTTTGTCCAACACTTTGGTTTGTGACTAAATACTTGCTGAACTAAAGGCACTCAAATCAACTCCAGCTGTACTTTGTGTTTAGTGCTCATTAGCGAATATAAGCATGTATGTACCTGCTCAAACATATTAACATGCTGCCGTTAGTGTTTAGCTCACAAACCACTCTCTGAGTTCTTTCGGCTTGTTGATTTTAAACAGTCATGACAACAAAATGTTTTTAATTTTAATGGATTTTATTCTTCAGATGTAGAAATATTGAGTTACAAAATCAGTGATGCAAAACATTAGTTTGAAAGGTGTAGAAAGATTAGAAATTCCCTGAATTGCTGACGGATTTTCAGTTGCTCTTTTTATCGTGTACAGACCCTGAATGTTAAACCTTGGCTTGCATTTACTTTCTAAAGCAGATGTCCCTTTTAGCAATTTTACTGTTTATTTATATCGGGTATACCTGTGATTTTAATGTTATCGGTTCAAGAAAACCTGACGCATCAACAACTAACGAGCTCAGAAAAATAAAAACAGTTTTGTGTCATTGCCAATTTCAAGAATTATTGAAATAATAGTGGTTATTTTGGGTCTGAGTGCTTAGTCAACAAGGTGAACACGTTGAAACAATTCAAATGTTGTTCCAAAATGAAGCATTGTTACATGTTGTGCCAGGAGTTCATTTTCATTTCCCCCGGTGGGGAAAAAAATAATAAAAAAAGCTCCAGCACTGGAGAGGGTGGGTGAAGATTTAGACGTGGGCTTCTATTCAAATATGAAGGTCTCCTTGACATTTTCTGCACTGCGTTGGCTGCTCATCCTTGTCGCATTTTTCCGTGCTGCATATGGGACAGCGCGACCTGTTGACATTTACAAACTCATCTGGTTGAGAGCGATGGCATTCTATAAAGGAGAAACACCTCTACACGTCCCGCCACAGAGCCCCGGTTCCCCAGTTCCCCAGTGCACCAACACGTTATTGCTTTAAACAAACATACGTCAACCTTTGCGGGGGAAGAGTCTCACTGTTCCCTTTAAAGTCTGTAATTACAACATCTTCTGAAAGCTTAAAGGAAACCTATGCAGCACAGGCACTGGGCAGCTTGTAGGCCTCATAAACTGGACTAAATACTGATGAGGTTTCATCACCACATCGACTGGACTGCCACAGCTGCCAGCAGAGGGAGCCCACAGCTGAAATGTGACCAGGTTAATGTCTGCCCCCGCTATTCTGATAAGACTCTGGATAGCAGCCAAGTGTGCCACATAATTCAAACAGCAGCTGAGGTTGAGGTAGGACAAAGGTGAAATGAGGTGAAAGCAAAGCCCATATAGTAACAGCAAAGCATTACATAACTGTAAACAGTGTGTGGGAGGTGGTCCTAGTGGTAATGTAAACAAGTGTATGCAAAACATGCATCAAAGTGACAACAGAAATAAAAAATATGACCCAAAAATCGAGGACATGGAAAACAAAGTGCCCATAAACAAAATGACAATAAATGAAACGAGTAATTTTCTCTGTATGCAGGAGAAAAGCCTCCTTCACTTTATTGACAACCACTGAAAATGAGAAAATAGAGACATGGGTTTTAAAATGCCAATGGGATGCAATGAGGTAACTTAAATATGAATCATTGTGCGGATTTAGCCTCTGCAATCCCTTAGGAAGTTCCAAAACGGGGCTGTGCGGATCATCTTTGTGCTTTTGGTCCAGGAGACGCGATCTTTAGAAATCAGGGCCCTGCTTCTTCAGCTTGCTGTAGTCGATGTTGACTGCGTAAAACTAAGAACACAAAGAAAATCTTAGCACAAGATAAACAGAGACATTTGATATTAAAAAAAAAGGGATTCAGGTGATTTAAAGTTTGTTTTAGGGTTCAGATTCTGATGCATTAAATCTTGTAATTAACAAACATACACACATAAACAGTTTATTAATTTGCTTTCTTGTCTTTTGAGTGTAAGCAGTTAATGACTTTATCAGATTTGTTACTACGAGTCAGCATTAACCAGATTATGTCATCTGATTAATCCAACTGAAGGAATAATCCACGGCTCAGCAACAAGTCTGGCAAAGATCCACACTGCGATCCCTGAATACAGCCACCCACACTCCTCGGCACTGAAAATCAAGACTGTAACACAGCATGATTAGTTTAGTAAGTAAGTTTTTGAAGAGACGACGGAGGGACACCTTGTACTGATCCGTTGGGGCCATCTTGTTCCAGGGCTCTGGGTTGTTCTTGCGATCCCAGCTGCAGAGGAGAAAATAAGACACCGATTTTGAAAGAGTAAATCAACAGAGATTGCAACCTGACATAAGAAGGTTTACTTTGCCACGAATCCTCACCAGACATCAGGGTTCCTCAAGCCCAGACGAGCGAGGTACATCATGGACATGGCTGCCCCTCCACCGATGAAGAAGAAAAGGGGGATCAGCTGCAAGCGACAGACAGGTGAGGATCCTTCAATAAGTTACAGATCAATAAAGTAATACACAGAGGAACACTTGCACAACAGGGCAAAATAAAACCAATAAAACTACAAAATGCAACTGTAAGGTAATACACACAACCTCTGTTCACCCTGGCTTGCTAAGCAGTGGCATCAGTCGCTATTTTGAGCCCAGCAGATCCTCTTCCTCTTCCTAATAATCGATAATAATCAATAATAATAATAATCAGTGGGGTAAAGGTAAAGTCGGGACCTGGTTTTGACTCCAAACGCACTCCCAAAAAGTATTGGCGCATATTTGGGGAAAACTGTGTATAAACCAAGAGAGTACAACACGATGAATCAAACAGGGAAACGTATCTTCTTTTTTTATTTTTATTTTTTTTTATATATTTAAACACATTTTTCTCAAAGTCAGCGCGGTCAAAGTCAGAGAACTAGTTGAGCTAAGCTAAGTTAGCCACAAAAAAATTCCCATATGGACCCAAGTCTGGAAAAAAAGACTCTAAAATGAATATTCACTGAATAAAACCGGGTTATACTTACAGCTGGGTGGTTCTTAAGCTGTCTGCGGACTGTGGCGAGCATTTTTTGATGCTTGCGGAGGCTGATTTATCCCAAATTGTAGAGAAATAAACAGATTACGACGTGTTTTCAAACCCACTGCTGCGCTGTTCAATCTCCGAGCTGAGCGGAAGAAAAGGCCGAGGGCATATTTAGGACGCTTAACATACTGCCTGACTGACAGTGGCGAAAACACAGCATTATTCATCACTATGAGCACTTGTAACACACTGCATGACATTTAAAAACCGAGTGATTTTTTTATTTTTATTTTTTGTTTATTTTCTGCATTGCATTTTATTCTGGCAAAATATTAAAATGTGGCAACAATCACCTGTTTTCAACCTGAAAACAAAAACAATGCACCAATGTTGTTTACTCATTAACGAGCTGATGTTACACTATATATATATATATATAAATGTATATAGTTTATATTGTAATGTGTGTAGTTGATCCTGTTTCACATAACGTGGCTATATCTGATCTTTATTTTATTTATTTACAAAGTTGTGGTGTTCACAACCTCGTGTTATATTAGTTTAGTTCTCATTAGATAGGTAAAATGCCACAATTTAATGAAAAAGAAATAATAAAATCGATTTAATTATCGATGTCAGTGATAACAGAAGTGTATGGATCACAATGAGACAGCAGGGAGCGCTGTTTCCTCCCATCAGACTAGAGAGGAAAACATTTATCTTTAAGTCAGTTTGTTAATATTCAGCTTTATGGAGCTGTGCCCTAAATTACAATCATTATTCCACGTTTTGGAGCGGATTTTCTGCGTCTTACCCTTAAAATATCGATTTAAGGTGCCTCATATTTAGGAGTTTGGTGTTGTTTCATGCTGCTGATAACAGATATTAACCTTATAAATCCAATGTGCTTATTCCCACAGCCAAAATGTGTTTAAATGCTGTTATTTGTTAGTTTTTTTCTGCTCAAAAATACAAAACTTTCTCAATATCAGCAGTCAAAATGTCTTAAGAATGAAGCGATAAGTGGTTAAACACACAATTGGTAATATACTTTTTAAATTTAAAAAAAAAGCTGGCTAACAGACACATAAATTGCTGGTGGAAATGATTTATGTTGAACAATAAGGGTTTGTTGGCTATTTTACAGCCATTTCCAGCAAGTAGCATCCAATCAGAGAGTCAGTGAAATAATAAGAAAATCACCATGAAATATCACAAGTTCCCTTTTTATGGCAAGTTATTTTCAACTTGTAGAAAATAAAAGTAAAAACAATTTAATGATAAGATTGGACATAACACAACAGGCGACATACAAATGTTTGTATTTCATACATGGACATACATGTGATTACACATATTCAAGCAACGATTTGTAAACCAAGCCTTATTTGGTGGTTAAGTTAATGTTAAAAAAAATGTCTTAGGCCTTGTTTGGTTCAATATCCATCCTAGAGAGGTGAGCTGGTTTCAGAAAAAAAGATTTGTCTAAATATAGTATTTTCCACTTGTGTCTTTCAGCCAGTCCAAATCCATCCACCAGTGTGGTATCTTGTGGTAAAAAAAAAAAAAAAAAAGATGTAAATGACTCATCACAGTTCATTCAGGACTTGATCCCAAGTAAAACACGTCTCCTCACCACACAACAGAAGCTGGGGTTGAAAACTACAAGAGCTTTCTGATTAAACACAGAAAATCTAAACCATACTTAAACAATTAATAGGCACGTACTGTATGCCTGTACATGATGTCTTATGAAACTAGGATACTGGCTTTAGAGTGTTTCCATTTGATGTGCAATGTTTCTGTCTTTCTCTCATGTGCTCCAGATGTTTTAGTGTGTCGTCTTCTTGGGGGTTTTGCCAAATTTAGCATCGAATCCGAGACCTAAAGTGAGAGAAGCGAAGATGTGATTAAGCAGCTGAGCAGAAATTACTTTACACTCTGGATTTAACCAACAGAATTACCAATTTAACCAATAAAAACATTTAAAAATATAAGCATTTACCAAGTGGGTTGTGTGGGAAGCTTAACTATTCCCCAATTAGACTTAAATGTTTGTTATAACAAACACACACAGTTTACAGTCTTAGGATACAGTTGAAGGCTTCTACCATGTTATTGCAAGCATTTAGCTCGTGTTATAGTCATCAGTTTTACGTAAAGGCAAGAGGAAGAGCCAGAGAGACAGACACTGACAATAAATCCAGAGAGGGCAACAGAGTGTTAAACCAGATTTGACTCTCACCGAGGAACACCAGGATGGTGCCGACCCACTGCATCGTACTCATGACGTTGCCAAACAGAATAACAGAGCCGAGGATGGTGAAGAACTTCCTTGTGGTGGTGACAATGGAGCAAGTCAGAGGCCCAAAATACACCACCGTCATAAAGATGAAGGTCTGGTAAAGGAATTTTAAAAACACGTTAAGGAGTGTAGTTTCAATACACACAGTGAGGAAGCATTCATTCCAAAACTTTTATGAAAGCAAAGGATTTATTTTCTTCGCACCGACAGAACAGCAGCAACAGAACCTTTCTCTACACATAGAGTCGTTTTATCCATCAACCCACCTGGCCTAAAGCACTGGTCACTCCAAACAGAAGAATATTGTAGATGATGTTTGGATGGCGTTCAGTAAAACTTAGGAATTCCCACACCTCCCCTGTCCACAATACCGCTGAGAGCAGAGAGGAAGAACATGTCAGTATAAAAAGGAAAATAACAGAAATGTAGTTTCAAAAACAACTCAGTAATTAAAACTTAATGTCACATATTTCTGGCAGTCCTGTGCAGAGAAAATCAGATCACAGTGTTCACAGAGTGGGCATTCGGCACCACCAAGTGGTATGTTACGGTAACGGCAATTATATGAAGCCTGTAGGGGTGGCATGAATCGGTGGGAATGCAGGTATAAGAATACCTTTGCATCTTGGGAAATATCAGCACTTCAAAGCTATCAAAGGTTTAGGTACGTGCAGTTTTCACAAACTAAAATTGAGGACATCAGAAGGCATTTTAATGCAGCCTGGAACGGAATTTATCACTTATCACAAGGTAGAAAAGGCATTTTTTAAATTTAATATGAACGATGGAAGTGGTAAGCTGATGTGCAGCAGAGATGGGCACTTACTAGGAGACAGGAGGCACTGCCAATTAGTTTGTTATAAGAATGATAACAGCCTCTCAGTTCTCATACTGACTTTGACCTTTTGATCTTTATCTTACAGCCCATTAGTGCCTAACCTTAGAAAGCCCCTCGTTATATTGCATTTGTTTTATGTGCCTTCCTCTTCAGCATATTATAGCAACCTCCTCACAGAACTGAGGGCTTTGAGGTGCATGATTCCTTATCTATAAAGATAACGCTGAACACTTTGCCTCGACTGAATTAATGAGTTTTTGGCTCCTGAGACAATTGTGTTCACCTTTTCTTAAAGAGCCTCTAATGCAGTTCTTATTGTTTTTTTCTTGTTCTTATTCAGACTGCCATTAGCTACTGCATCACGCTATTCATCCTTGGGTCCAGGAAAGAATTCATTGTGATGATTAAAAAAAAGGAAACAACACAACTAATTATGACATTACACCAACAGCAATTATATAAATTCAGCTGTTAATACTAAATGACCCTAGAAGAAAAGACAAGCTCCCTCTGGAGATAAAAACGGCTCAAGTAAGCTTATAAAATCTAGGTGATTTCACACATTCGACATTCCTATGAATATTATATTCCTTTTCTGCAGACAGATCCTCCTAAATGTTACACACTGGACCTTTACAGTGATATGATATATTGCTGGAGTTTGATAAACTGTTGACTGGACAAGCAGCTCAATGAGACCAGCATGCTAACAAAAGACCCCTGATTTGCAGACTGACCTCAGCCTTCAGTTCAGATTATTCTAGAGCTTTTCAGACTTTTTAGTGAGCAGAAATGTACCTGTAAATGAAATATCTTATCAGTACATGTGCAAAACTGCAGAACACCCAAGTATCCTGTATAATGTGGCACTGTGAGCAATGTTAACACAATATATGTTCATGTGTGTGTGTGTGTGCCAGGATATACAAACACTACAGCACTTTAATGCAAAGACAAAGACAATTTGCTTAGTATTTAAGATGTTATGTAGTGATGTGTATAAATTAGTTTAAAACATAACATGGTTACAAATAGCCATGAATGTACCAACAAATATTTAAGCCTTTGGCTTTCAATGTTCTCTGAGAATTATTCAGAGAGCTTTGCAGAAGGACATTCACTACATCAGTTTTTCAGTCTGCTATATTTTGGCAGTACTGAACCATATCAAGGTGATTTTGCTCATTAGTCTCTCCTCTCAGGCTGAAGGTGTGCCAATCAGTGAAACGACCTGATGTAGTTTGGTTGGAGAGACTCTCCGTGGTCCTGGCACTTCAAGACAGATGTTCAGTTAGACAAGAGTTTGGCAGAGAGCATGGCTAACTCACCTAGTCCTAGCACCAGAGTGGACCACATGTTGATGTTCAGCATCATGTGGTTGGCACTCGTCTGGAAGCGACCCCTCATATGGTCCTGGGCCACACCAGTCAAGCCATCCAATGTGAGGGAGACCAGCTATGATACAGCAAAACACACAGCCAACCCATGAAATGTCACAGTAACCATGGCGACAGTAGAGAGAGACAGATATATGTGCAATCATCATGGCAATAAAATGGAAATAAATGGAATTAATGGAACTTGGAGCTGTATCAACTCACCAACAGAATCTCTCCGAACCCAAAAACATGGTCCTCCGCAACAGCCGAGCTCTTGTTGGGTTTGTAGAGGAACAGAGCTACACCGCTCACGATAAGCAGCACACACAGGTACTTAGCCAATGGGTACTTCTTCCTCAGTATTGTCACACCGAGAATCATCACTGCAACAACACAACAACAGTTTGATGGATGGTTTTTAACCCAGGAAAAAGTGTCAGGCCTTCACCCTTGAAAGTGGAAAATATGTATGGTGAAAGAGTGTGTGTGTGTGTGTGTGTGTGTGTGTGTGGTGTTTCTGTATGTGTAACAAGAGATAACCAAGCTTTGAGGGGCGAGAAATAATCTTCATGTACAAACAGAACATACTGTAACCTGCAATGTATGCTCTCAGGTCGACACATTTAAAAATAAGTTGCTGACTGATGT